AGTATTGAGTCATTGCTACATTTAGTCACTATAATATAACTAGTTATAATTATAGTTCACACATGTTCACACTGTTGTGAATAGTAATACATGAACACATTTAATAATATTCTAACCAATAATTCACTTTCGTTCTCTTTCTACAATTCCATTTGTTATGAAATTTTCAACCAATTAATTATGTACAAATAACATAAACACACGTCTCATGAGGATTTCCTATTCCATATACAAATGAAATTTAAATACACACTTGGCAATAATTTTCTATCCTATCTCTCTCTCTCTTTCTCTGTCTCTCTCTTGCTACGTGTAGCAAATGACCACTGTACACACTGTTTCCTTTAAAAAAAAAATTAAATTTTAATTGTATTTTTTCCCCTCATTTCACGTTTAATCCTCGTGAAGAAAAAGAAATCCAGTTTAATTATTTTACCGTACGCAACGAACGTGCGAATCGACTCGGTCGAACTATATTCGTTCCTCTCCCCTCGTTTCCATATATAAATTGTAAACGTGATTTCGAATTCAAAAGCGTTGAACGTTCCAGCACAGGGAAGGATGGAATAATGGATGGAAATAATTTGAAACGTAAAATAATTCGAAAGGAAGATCCAATGATTCGATCGTGTGCTGAAACGAGCGTTCCTAACCTAAATTGTCAATCGGCCGTTTCGAGGAGATCGCAGAACTCAGTCGCAGCAGTTGTCAGCAAAACTATTATTCTCATCCGGTAATTCATCAGGAAGGAAGAGAACTAGCGAGTGGGTGAGAACGACAAAGGAAGAGAAAGGTGACACACGAGATATCGAGCTTTTGGAATCGAGAGAAAGAGAGATAGAGATAGAGAGAGAGAGAGAGAGTCAGGGACAAAGGAACGTGTTGATCTCGACCGCGAGAAAAAGAACTGGCCTCGCGCATTCGTGATTCTCAAGTCGAGTAGCTGAGCCGATTAAAATTAGCACGAGCCTCTCATTGTTCCCTTCCACGGGCTTCGAACAATGCACCTTGCCTTGTGTACCTGCACGTGCTGCCGCAGTTTCGTTCCTTCTCTCCGCCCGGCTTGTGCCTGAGATCGGTTAAAAATAAGAAATAAGAAATAAGACGCCATATTGGATAAGTGATAAGTGATCTCTGCCCGAAGTGAGTAGACGAATCTCCTTTCAAGGATGGATCCACCTATGGTGTGGAATTCAAATGGAAACGGAAGCGTAGAATTGAGTATAGTTGAGTACGATCAAATCAGGAGGAGAGATCAGAGTTTTTTTTTTTTTTGTAAAAATTTGTTGAAGTTGCATAGGGTTTTATTAATTGATTTTAATTAATATTTTTAACTGTAAGAATCTATATATCTGAATTATTGTAATTTTTAATTCTATAATATAGTTTATTCGTTCATGATAGAAATTGGAAGAATGTTAAAAATTTCATTGTAATATATCTTGTAATATAATCAGATTATCTGAATTTTAATCTAATCTCTAACACTATTTGTGAGAGAATAGAAAAAAAGAATTGTCAAAAGAATTCAATATTTGGAGTACATCATCCTTGTGTATTGGAGTAGATAAATAAATAAATTTAATCTAGAGATGACAAAAATTAAAACAGGTATAACCTAGATCTAAATAATAGGAATATAGGTTTAATAGGAAGACTTTAGGTGAACTAAATCCTCAATCAGACTTATCCTAGATATAATAAGGCTAATAGGAGTTGGCAAAATTCTAATCCCTTTCTAATAATATGAATGTGTATATAATTTGTATTCAGATGTGTAATCCCTAAGATGTATAAACTCTAATCTCGCTTGAAACAAAACCAACAATAATTATTTCTATTAAATTTGAAATTAATAACTATTTCAAACAATAGATATAATAAGATATAATAGGAATTACCAAAATTCTAATCCCTTTGTTAATAATATAAATGTATATATAATCTGTATTCAGATCCTAATCTCGCTTGAAGCAAAACCAACAATAATTATTTCTATTAAATTTGAAATTAATTAACTAACTGTTTCAAACAATATTACCGATATTAAATTTAATTAGTCAATTAAAGTTGTCATATGGCACATAAGCCACAATGTATAAAAACCAAAACAAACAGAAAAATTAGTATTAACAAAAATCGAATCGTTTATTTATTAAATTTTGATTGTAAAAGTAATTAGAAACAATTTATATTAGAGTGAAGTAAAGATATGACAAAGATAGAGCTATGTCACTGGAATCGATTGTTCAAAAAATATTTCACAAATATATATTAACATTGTAGTAAAAAATACAAAAGATAATAAAATATAAAATAAATTATCGTTAGATAATTTTCTTATGAAAAATATTCTTATAAGAAACGAATCTTGAGTATCTTGTACATATCAAATAGCCTCGAGCATTTTCAAAATTTATATCTTTCATATTATAATTTATCGAAATTCAATATTCACGTTGTGATACATAAGAAAAGGAAGATAAACGAGCGGGAATCATAAACAAGGATTTATGATTTCGTCGAAGTAGAGGAAGAAA